CCTGGTCGGTTGAACGTGAAGAGCCAGTCCCGTGCTTCTGCTGCTGTGAGTTCTACGTTTTCCTCATAGCCATGGAGGAAACCAAAACTGTAATCCAAAGCAAGTGTTTTCCTTCTTAAATGTCTCGGCCGGGTGTTTTGTCAGTGTCAAGAAAAGTAACCCAGCAGCTGACTCAGGCAGATGCAGACACCCACAGCCAAACAGTGGATGGAGCTTGGGGACTCTTATGGAAGAATAGGAGGAAGGATTGTGGCCCTTAAGGGGATAGGAACTCCACAGGAAGACCAACAGTCAACTAACCTGGACCCTTGGGGTTCTCAGAGACTGAAGCACCAACCAAAGAACATGTATGGATTGGACCTAGGCCTCCTCACTCATGTGTAGCAGATGTGCATCTTAGTCTTCATGTGGGTCCTGAACAACTGGAAATGGAGCTATCTCCGTTTCTGTCTGTGGGATATGGTTTTTGTTTGTTTGTTTGTTTATTTGTTTTTTGTTCTTTGTTTTTTTTTTTTAAGCTGGGCTTCTTTGTCTGGCCTCAAGGGGAAAGGAAGCACCTAGCCCCACAGAGACTTGATGTGCCAATGTAGGGCCCTCCACCCTTCTAGAGGACAAGAGAAGCAGGGGAAGGGACAATTGTGAGAGAGGGTGACAGGGAGGGGGCAGTGATTGGGATGTAAAGTGAATAAATAAAGTAAAATAAAATAAACCCCATTGAATTCCTAGAAAATGAGGAAAAGTATCCAGTAGAGTCTCTAAATATCCAGTAATGGATATTTAGAGATTGCTCAGTCCCTGTTGTGGAGGTATTAAAGTGGTGAAATATTCAAAAAGCTGGACCCAGTGCAAGATAATTTAGTCACAGAAGGAATCACCATTGGGAGGGATCAGTACTGTCATTAGACAGTAGACCAGGTCTCATGGGACTGTCCTGACAGAATGGGCTGTTCTAGAAGAGCCTGGTACCTCCTCTCTATCCCACATTGGCATATGTTCCTTTATGTGGATTCCATTTGCCATGAAGCCTTCACCAGAAACCCCACAGACGCAGGTGCCATGGTCTTCAACTGGAGAACCGTCAGTGAAGTCAGTCTCTTTTCTTAAAAAACCATAGAGCCTCAGGAGTTTTGTTACAGTTATAACAACAATAAACAACCTAAGACAGAAGGCTTTTTCCTATGCCCCAAATCATGGTAAAACTAATATGAAATAACAGTTGGGGTTCAGTTCATGTGTACTCTTCTCTAGTGCTGTTCCTAAAACTTCTATCCTGTGAGGTCCAATGAGCAGCAGGATTTTAGTGATGAATTTTAGAGCATTAAGGCAGTACCTGTCAATGCCAGCTTGCTCTCCCTCCCTCTCTCTCTCCCTCCCTCCATCTTTCCCTCCCTCCCTCCCCCTCTGTGTGTGTGTGTGTGTGTGTGTGTGTGTTTGTGTGTGCATGTGTCTTAGGGTTTTACTGCTGTGAACAGACACCATGACCAAGGCAGCTCTTGTAAGGACAACATTAATTGGGACTGACTTACAGATTCAGAAGTTCATTCCCTTATCATCAAGGCAGGAGCATGGTGGAGTGCTGTAGGAGCTGCGAGTTCTACATCTTCATCTGAAGGCCCCTAGAAGACTGGCTTCCAGGCAGCTGGGATGAGGGTCTTAAAGTCCATGCTCACAGCGACATACCTACTCCAACAAGGCCACACCTCTCAATAGTGCCGCTCACTGGGCCAGGCATATTCAAACCACTACAGTGTATGTGTGTGCCTGTGTGTGTGTGTGTGTGTGTGTGTGTGCTTGTGACAGGCTGGCTATCAGCACCAAGCTGAAAGAGTACAAGGCACTAGTGACAAGAGGAACTGGAGAAGTCACCCACTGGCTTTGGGATTAGAATGAAGGGTTAGGCTGTAGACCTCTCGGTGGGTGGTGCTGGACATGCTAGAGAGTAAAGAGTGAAGGCTAGTGAGACGGCTCAGCAGGTAAAGGTGCCTGCTTCCTCTTCCCAAATAAAGTAATTAAAAGAAAAAGCAGAGAGCCTACGGAGTGGCTGCAAGACTTCCAGAAGGGTCCCTGAACTGGGCATGATGACAGGCTAGGGCGTGGGGACTGGGATAGCTATGATTCAAAGTCAAAACCGACCTGTAGGCAAATATGACTCAGTTTTTATTTTGCTTGTGTTGAACAACTTTGATTCTTGAGGCTGGCTCTTTCCTGTCACTTCCCTTCTGAGTGCTTGTGTGCACTGGATGAGAGACAGAGGGCAGATCTGAGAACCAAAGCTCGGATAGGGAACCCTGTTCCTTACTGATCTCTGGTGGGCCTTGGCCATCGAAGCAAGGACTCCTATTTTGAAAACAGGGTTTCCTTGAAGAATTTCTTTTATGCCAAATATGAGGTTATAGTTTTGGGAAGTTCCCCAACCCCCTTTTGATCTCTAGCAGTGATGTTCTTTTCCCAGGGCCACTGGTATTTTTGGTTTAGTTAAGGTAGAATGCTTCTGTTCATAGCATTGGGCGTGTTAAGGGAAAAGCCTCATCCTCATTGTCTTAAAGGGAATTGAAATGGAAATTGAAATTGGAAATGTGGAGTCGATGGTGGTTCGAGGGCATTGTTACTCTGAGGCATTCTTTTGTTCTTTTCCCAGCCAAGGAGAGCTGAAGTGGCTGAAGTTCAGAAGTCCTTCAGTGTGTTTGGGGGATGAGTAACAGGACAGTCAGTCCCTCCCCCACATGGAAGTCTGCTCATCTCCTTGCATAAAATAGTGGCATTTGGATATCACCTACCTTCACCTTCCCGTTGTGCTGAAACTCACAGAATGTGAGCCCTGTGCAAACGTCTACACTACCACATCGTTTAAGGAAGACTGACAGGGGAGAACTGTGTATATCCTTCTCTACTGACACCTATCAAAGACCTAGCTATGTTCTTATTTTTTTTTATTTATTTTTTTTTACTCTTATGGTTTTCTATTTCATGGATGAGGAGGCAAGAGGCTTAGGAATACTACTCTGGGAGCAGCAAGTAGGGAAAGCTGGGAAAGCCAGGATTGAAATCCAAACTTGTGTGATCACAAATTTCTATTATTCATGTGCAATTGCCACTGATTTTTAATGGTGGGAAAACATAACTACAGTTTTAAGTGGGAATAAATTTTTATTTATCTATTTTTAAATTTATTATCTTTAATTTTTTTTTTTTTTACAGTCCAGTCATTACCCCTGTCCTGGTCTGTCCTGTCGACAGTTCCTCATTGTATTCCTCTTCTCCTCCCCCGCCCCGTCTCCAAGAGGATGTCCCCCTTCTACCCCACCCTGCCAGGCCTCCCCACTCTCTGGGGTCTCAACATATTACATTTTAAAAAGTATTTTTTTGGTACAGATAGAATTATGTCACCTTGTATTTCCCTTTCTCCCTCCAGACACTCCCAGCTACCCTTCCTCGAACCCCTTCCACACACACCCACTCTTAAATGATAGTCCTTTATTATTGCTACATGCATATCCATACGTATGTGCTTACACACACACACACAACCTGCTGAGTTCATTTTTGTTGGTGGTGTGCATTGGCTTCAGGGCTGGCTATTCTGCGTCAAAGACTAAGGGGCTCATCTCTGGTAGAGGCTAATTTTCCTTCTCCCAGAAGTCAATGGTTGCCTGTAGTTCTTTAGTTAGGGGTGGGATCTGATGAAATCCCCTTCCATGTTAACATACCCATTGATATTGTCATTGCTCTGCCGTTGTTCATGCAGCCGTTCTAGGAGCTGGGTTCACAGCAGACTCCCTGGTCCGCTGGCTCTTACAACCTTCCATGATCGTCCCTGAGCTACAGAGGCAGAAGCTGCACAGCAGATGTGTTCACTGGGGATGGGCTTCCCATGTTCTGTTGATCTCTACATTGTTGCCAGATGTAGTTTTCTGTGAGTCTCCTTTTGTTGTAAAGAGAGACTTTCATGCTAGCTACATTCTTGATTGTCAACTGATGACATCAAAAGGTGTGGAACTCTATCATGAAGGGCTGGTTATACTTTTTTTTTTCCTGATTATACTTTTTAGGGAAGATTTATTCTCTCTCTCCTCTCTCTCTCTCTCTCTCTCTCTCTCTCTCTCTCTCTCTCTCTCTCTCTCTCTCTCTCTCTCTCTCTCTGAGTATGTGTTTTTGTGTACGTACAAGCACGTACGTATGTGCCTGTGTATACACGCAGAATCCAGGAGAGAGTAGTGTCAGGTGTTCCCTCCATCATTTGCTCTTTTATTCCCTTAGGAAAGGAGCCCTCCCTGAACCCAGGATGCAGGTCCCTGTGATCCTCCTGTCTTAGTCCTCCTTGGGGCTGGGGTTACTGGTTTGTTATGTGAGTTCTGGGACCTGAACTTACGTCCTTATGATTGCACAGAAAGGACTTACAGCTTGTGATCCATCCCTTCAGCCCCCTGCCCCCACTTTTAGTAAGTACAAAAAAAGAAATTTTCTTCCAAAAATTTATTTAAGTGATATTGTTACAAGATTTTTTTAACAGAATAAGAAGCTAAATTTTCCAATTTTTTGAAGCTTCAATAATTTAAAAACATTAAAACATTTAAAACCTAGTTTTGTTAAACATAAAACTAGGTTTGGATTTCACCCCATTCAGAGGAGAGAACTTTAAATAAATAAACAGTAAAGCTGAAATTTTAGTTAATATTTAATCTTATTTAGGACTTCCCTAGGTAGATCTGATAATCATGCCTTTAATACTTCAAAGACTTAAGAAAAAAAATAAATAGATCCATAAATATCTCATATAAATACAGGTTTTTACCTTTTAAATAATAAAATTTCTTAGTCTTGAATTTTGTCTTCTTCAGAAAGAAACATAATAAGAATGTAGATAATTCATTAAAATAACTTATGCCTCAAAGTTATCTCAGGATATAGTAAATACATAAATAATTTAAAGCCCACAGTAAAACAAACAAGAAGCAGAGGTTTGCAGAAGAACACGGGGGTTTCTTAGGCGCCAGCCTCGGTTAGGCCGCATGACGGACAATAGAGGATACACAGGTGCAGCCCACACCCACCAGCATCTTCTCCACCCGGAAATTGAAGGGGCAGTTCTCAGGCTCCCTCTTCAGGACCAGGATCTCTTGCTGGATGACAACAGAATTCATGTGGTGGTCCAACTTCCCCTCAGCGTTGACACAGCGCTGGTGGCGGCACTGTGCCTCCCAGATCACAGAAGGATATCTATCAGGGTCCTCATTGCGGCTGCAGGGGAGACAGAAGCCAGGAGGAAAATGAACGCTTGGTTAAGTGGAAGGAAAAGCACAGGGGGAGGGAGGAGGAACATACTACGACACATATGTGCACTGCAAAAGCTCTGCATGTTAGTTGCTAACTTCGGCTTGTCTGAAAATTTTGATTCTTCTCTTTCCATCTTTTCCTCCCGGATTCTTCATTTTCTGCCTCGTCTCTTTTGCAGTGATAAGGATCAAAGCCAGTGTCTTCCACATGATGGACACCCATTCTATCACGGAACTTGGTTCTCAGCCTCACAGACTTGAATTTTAAAGTTTGAGGAGTGTTTTAAAAGAATGTTTTTCGAAAGATAAACGGAATAAGCTAAAGACCACAGTGATTGAAACTTAATATTAAAAGAGACATTTTAAGGGTAGATTTGATTGACAGGAAATGACAAAGGGACAGATGACCAAGGAGTAAGATGGCTGTTCATCTGACTTGGTGAAATCGGTCTATGAAGGAAGGAATGCCAGAATTATATCTGAGAACACTTCGTGGGATGGAGCCCAACGATTATATGAAAATCTAGAAACAACAACAAAAGACCCTTTATATTCTCTTCCGTGTCCTCTTATAATTTCTGAATAAATAGTTCACTTTGACTTTTGAATCGATTGAACTATCCTTAGTATTGGGGAAAATAGAGAAATCCTATAGACAGGTGAATCAACAGTTTTCTTGCCACTGAAACTTATTCATATAAATTCAAATAATCAAAATACTGAGCCCTTTATGGAGTCTAAATAGTGTATGCCAGAGACATGTCATATATAAAGTGCTGGGGATGGAGGTAAAGTCTATCCAACAAAGGAGACGAAATATCCACCAGGATACTTCTTCTTCTAGCCATTCGAGTTTTATTTTTCTATGTCTTCTTCAGGACAGATAAAAAAACACCTAGTTAATTATTAATTATTTCAGCAAGTCTCTTTAATTGTAGGTCTGGAAGAAAAAAAAACTCATAAATATCCTGATTTCTAAAAAGTCAGCAATTAACATGCGCTCTCTTAGATGTTAGAATCATGGTTATCAATAATTTGGGTTGTTCTTTCTCATTAGTGATCACTATAACAGGTTAGGGTGAAGCATTCCCTGCTCTATCCAAGAAGTCTGTAGAGGAAACTTTGAGAACCATTGCTTAGCACAATGGATCTTCCAGGCCTCTGAAGATTCTGAGAGGAAAAAAATAAGAAATCATGTTCAGGGCATGTGCGGTGCATCAGAGAATAGAAGTTCTTACGTACTGGAGAGTCCACGGTGAAGTGGAACGGTTGAGGTAGTCTAAGGGCCTTCTGGAGTTCACTTTCGGGCTAAGGGAGTTAAGGAGTTTCAGGTTGACCTTCACATTCTGGAGGAAGTTCTTGGCCTCAGTGTTTGGACATGCTGAACTTTGAGGGATGAGTACTGCTGCCTTCACCGTAGCCTCCAGGCTCAGTAATATTAACAGCATCAGAGACTAGAAGGAAAAAAATAAGGTGATGGGGATTGGATTAGTATATGTTTTTTTTTTTCTGACAAATTCATTATGATGAGTATATAGCTCACTGTAGGAAACAAACGGCAGTCTGGCAAGATCTCTCTCCTACCATGTAAGTAATTTTAAATCTAAAAACCTTTAAGATGGCCAAAGTCGCGCTAAAAACGTAGAATTTATCTTATTTTTAACCAGCTTCCTACATTCTTTCTGTGACTGAGGAGGGACACGTGATGTCTTAGAACAGCAGTGGTCTTCGTAAAAATGTCAGTTCATGCCATCTCATCAGCCTGCTGGCTCATGAGTCAATGGGAACGCTAAATGACCTCGATTTTCTTGTCCTTATGCGGTAATGTTCTTAGTCACGCCTTCTGTAAACCTTGTGCACAGTCAAATATGGACCTTGGAGGAGAGGACTGTAGAAAACCTACCTGTTGTCGGCCCTCATGTTAGAATTAGAAACAGTATGTGTACACCAGCTATCCTCCAGATAGAAACTGAACCTCCTTTATGTTTTCTTAGGTATGTTTTCTGGTTCTAAATTTAGCGTGCATTAATTCTATAATGAAAATTGAATTTCAGAATATACCTTTTAAGTTAAGTTTATATTTTAAAAAATAGAAAGCTTTATTCAGAAGGAGACTTATACATGTATCTAATTAGAATCAAATGGTTTGGATGTCCTAAGACTTTGGTATAAAACAATAGAGCAAAAGTTGCTCCCAAGGCTTTCAAATCTGCAGGAACAGTAACCCACTGTATTCCAGATTAAAGAAAAAGGACACAAGAGAATTATGTCAAATCCTTTGCACTCAGAAGAATAGACTTTCTCATTGCATAGCGTCACGTGACATTTCTTACGTGGGTTAGTTTCAACACAGCTACCTTTCAGTTTTAACCTTATCTTCCTGACTGATGCTTATCAGTTCTTGAAAATGCTGTACAATGATTTAGGCATCTATGAAAGGTTTCATTTCCAGTTCTACATATACCGATTCATGGAATCCAACAGTTGGAGTTGAGCATTTCAAACCATGAGCAGCAATGCAACCTGGTCTCAATCAACAAGCGACTTGTACTTTAGTGCAGGACTCACCACAGACGAAGTTCTCCTGGGACTCATGGTTGCTTGTCGTGATCAGCTGGTGCTGGATGCGTTTGTGCCTCGTGTGAGGTGGATGAAGTGTAGCACTCCATTCTTTCTTTTTATAGGGTTTTACTCCCTCTGTGGTCACTTACGTCGAGAGTGGGTTGCGGGGGGTGACACCATTTGGGTAAAGGTTCCATCCTCAAATGAGGTCAGAACAGAACCACCCCTTTATGACGGGTAACATCTGTCTCTGAAGGTAGATGGGAAGGGCAGAAGTTCACTATGCAAAGAAGCATGACTTATTGGGAGCTGAACAGAGATGCTTTGCTATGGTTCAGCATTATGTGTGTATGGACATATCTGAAGCTATTGCAGAGATAGGCTCCATCTTAATGGTTTGTGAGTCTCTTGACAGTCTAGTGTCACCTGCTTTAAAGTTTGACTTGATCTTTCTCCCCTTTCTATCAGACTCCCTAGCTAGAAAGCATCCCCCTCCAAAAAAATCCCACTCAATATCTTGCTGTGTAAACAGACGAACAAAATAAATAATTCAACACTAATGGAACACATCTTACTTAACTGAGTTTAGTGACTGTTTTTCTTGAATGTCTACTCTTCGCAAGAAACAATCACAAAATCCAGTTAGTTATTAAGGAATAGCTAGAGACCTGAGGTTTACTAGTGAAGACATGGCTGCTGCGAGTTATCAAGAAACTCATTAATACTTGCTGTTTGAGTGAACTGAACCTCTACTGTTGAGGTTCAGTTTCAAGCCTTCCTTTTAAAGAGGAAGGAAATGGAAGTGAAAGAATAAGGGACCGATTGGACAAAGCGAAGAACGAATTTGAAATCAAGATGGAGGCTGAAAGATAACAGAGACACTGAGGTACTACCAGGTGGAGACTACAAACAAGAGAGGAGGGATGAGAAGGGAAGATGGAAACTCATGTTGTCTTCTCCCAGTGAAAGGACTTTTGTCTTTTAAGTCCCTGAGAAGACTTTCTCTTCAGGAATAGAGGATATGAGGACAAGGTGGTGAATAGGGGGTCATTAGATATAGAGGTCATCTGCATGTCATTATGGCAAATATGGGGGTCATTAGGTCATTGCATATAGGGATCATTTACATGTCCTTTTTCTTTGTCTCTACCTCTAATGAGTCAAACCATGTCTCACAGCTTCCCAGTTCTTCAGCTCCTGGTCTGACACTCAGCACAAAACCATGAGGTGAACCAGCAGCCCTGATCAGTAGATGGCACGTCCGCTAGGATTTCTGGATTCCAGTTGTGATCACGTTGTTCTCAGAAGTTGCAGCACCTCATACCTTGCTCCTCTTTCCAGCTTCCTGCTGGCCCACAATTCCGACTTTCACCTGCTTGGACTGTATTTGCTCTTTTGACACTTCTAATACCCCTGGAATGATGCTCATGCACACCTCTGGTTGCTTGTTCCCCTCACCCCATTCTCTAGCTTCCTGAATGAGAAACGTGAACTCCTTAGCTCTTGAATTAGTATTGCAGTTGCAACAGTTTTAGAACAGTCCCTTCTAGCCTCACTCCTACTATGCTCCATGTTAGAGTTCACCAGGTCCTGGTTTTCTATGTGTGCTCCTTCCTCAAATTACATACCCTCTGTTAAAGTACAACCTTGGCAATGTCCTTTTTCTCTCTGTTTATTAGCACTCTGGTTGTCTTCTAGGATTCTATTCACATAGCTCTTCTAGTGGGGAATAACATCACTGCAATAAACTTACTACAATGTTGGCTTCTTTACAGGCTAATGTGTTACTCATTTCCTTAAATTTTGCTGTATACAAAATAACCTTTTATATAACACAGGTCATCATGGATTCCTTTTTTAAAAAAAGAAAGATTTATTTATTTAATATATGTGAGTATACTGATGCTATCTTCCGACACACCAGAAGAGGGTATTGGATCCCATTACAGATGGTTGTGAGACACCATATGGTTGCTGGGAATTGAATTCAGGACCTCTGGAAGAGCAGTCAGTGCTTTTAACCTCTGAGCCATCTTTCCAGCCCCATGGATTACTTTTGACTCACTTGTCTCTGATATGTGGCTGTCTGTTACTCTTGAACTGCATATTGTTTTCTTACTGACTTTTTTTCTATTTTGTAAGTTACTGTAGGGTTTGGAAAATAACAGCTAAGCTTTTTTTTTTTTTAATTGAGTGACAATATGAAGCATTATGTCAGAAATTCATGACCTTGTTTCTTTTTAGAACTCAACTGCATTCTAAGACACTCCTGGGTTATCTTATCCCTTGGTCCTAAATCCTTATGCCTTTGAAAAGTGTACGACCATGTTGTAGCCTATGCTGAAATGTGAGGAATAGACACTCCTTGTTGCTATCTGGCAAGGATGAGCAGAAGGGGAAGGGGCTTACTGACAAATCTGCCGATTGATGCTGAAGAGGAAGCTCTAATAATCCTCCCTGTCCAGGGTCCTGTGAAACTCAGCCTAAGTATGGGCTTTTGAGAGGTGACAGTCTTTGTCTTAAAATAAAAGGAAGGGGGAGAGACAAGATCAGTTTTCACAATAGTGTGAAGATGCTGATTTAGACATGGAGCAGTTGTGCCTGGCTTTGAAAACAGATTTCCTAGCCATAGTCTCCATCTGGAAGCTTTGTTCTTGGAGGAACAGTTGGGAACACAGGGGCTGTGCACAGTAGGTCAGGTTTCTTTTGTGGTTGCTGTTCCTTCAGACGTGGATCTTAGCCATCAGAGGTAGACGGAAGTCCGTAGTGAGAACTGGTGTGCTGAGGGCGTCTTCACTTTCGTTGTGCCTTTGCCTTGCTGAGACCTACTTCATCTTTTTGTAGACATGCTGTTCTGCTTTACAAAATGAGGTTCTGTTTCGCCTGCTGATTGTGGTTGACTTTTTGCAGAAAGAAAATAGCAATGAATAAACAAAAGCGGTAGATTAGGAATAATGATTTTGCTCAGGAGTGGTCTTCAAATTTATCTATCTTGCTTCTCTGCAGACTCAAAACAGCAGCTACAACACTGGACAGCTAGGAGTTTCAGGATCAGGGCTGTGTGTGGGAGGGTATGCAACAGGAGGAAGCTTGTAGTCAAATGATGTTTTAAGGAAAGAGATGTTTGTGGGCTTCTTGAAATCATTAGGCCATTATACAGTGTTATTTTCTAGCTATATTAGAGGATAATTTAATACCAAGGATAAGGGAAAATTCTTACTTTTGTTAAACAAGATAGAATATCTTTTGTCTCCATGTGGTAAAGAATTAAATATATACTGAAATTATAAAAACCAATTTTTGTTTCCTCCTCAGATGGCAGGGCTACCATTGAGAATCTATTATTTCACTAACTTTTGATCTATTGCCCCTTTCAGGAAAAAACAATAACAACAATGGTCTGTATAAAGGAGGGTTTTCACAGTTTTAAATGGTTAACATACATCCCAATTTAAAGAAGACAATGACTGTTTAAAGAGGTAGGTGTTGTTTAGTTTAATGAGGTGCACAGTACTGCATAAGGATCCTTCTCCACTTGTTTTGTGTAATAGAGAGAGAACAGTCCTGGAGAGAGTGCTCTTGGGTCCTAAATATAGGGAGTGCTGCTATGAAGATGCCAAACCTGGACCCGGAACAATCCCAAAGAGACACTTAAAGGAAAGATCTGATGTTAAGATAGGATGAGTATTTGGATGACCACATGGGTATCCTTATGGAATTAGTAAAGCCGGGATCTTATCTAGACCTACACTTTAACTCGATTTTAACTATAGTTGGTGCTCCTGAGGACCACTCTGAACAATTCTGGGATGGGAAGTCCCAGGAATGGGTACCAGGCTTTTCTGGAATCTGTGGTGGAAGAAAGTGCTTTCTTCATGTCATATGGCAAACTGGGCTCCATCAGTAAAGTGACTACTTCAATTGGGTAGGCTTGTGCTTGGGCAGAATGTTTGAATGTTAGCATGTGGATGCATTAGGTGTGTGTGTGTGTGTGTGTGTGTGTGTGTGTGTGTGTGTGTAGAGGCCAGATGTGTGCATTAAGAGCCTTCCTAGATAGTTCTCATTTTTTTTTTCTTTTGAGACTGGGAAATTGATGCTTACACATTGGCTAGATTGGCTGGCCAGGGAGCTCCAGGGATCCCTCCACCTCCTGCATCTGTTCCCTTTTTTCTTCTAGCTAGGGTCGAAAAGACTTAGTTATATATAGATGCTAGAGCTCCAAACTCAGGTATGACTACTTGCGTGACAGGTATCTCTCTAGCCCCAGAATCCCTTTCTAATCTTCTAATTCTGTTTATTTCTGTTTTATTAAAGCGATTCTTCCCTGATGGAGACCAGCTATGAGAGGTGCTTCCGCATACATTCTCTTCTTTCTTTCCCTATTGGTTGTCGACAGCCACCTCACTTAATTTTGATTGGATTGCTTTTATTCAATCTAATCAGGTCATACGTGACTGTACAACTCTACAACACAAACCTAACCCATGTGGCTAAAGATCATCAATTATCCATTACATTATCCATATAAAATCAGCTCCCTTGGCAAGATCAAAATAGTACCGTCCCTTTGGCAATGGTGGCTTTTCTTTGCACATCCTCTTTGCCAGCCCCAAAGACCTGAGAATAATGCCTGGAAGCTGAGTAAGAGAAGGAAGACGCGTTGTGTGATGTCATCTCAAAACGACCACAATTTATCAGTGTTTTCCCAGTCTCTACCTGAAAATCGAATGAAGCAGATCCTCTTAGCTCGTCAGTTTCTCCTCTGAGTAATGAGTACGGACCTCATGGAAACTAAGGCTACTTTCTAGGTGAGTTCCTCACTGGTCTTTTACTGAAACATTGATTTAAAGTGGGTCAGAGAACTTTCCATTTTTTTTTCAACCAAGAACATTTAGAATCAGATGCCTATGTGTTAGGAGGTGCATGCAAATTGTTTGACTGATGGCCCCCACTTGGGTAATGCTGACTTCATCTGATACCCTTAGAATCAAGGTCAGCAACTGACTGGGTTTCAAGTCTAAACGGATGTCACC